ACCCTAAAATGTCTCCCTTAGTTAAGATATCTTCTTCCTTGCGCCCATATCCACACTCCTCCATCTCAACCCTCCCATTCCCCCAAGCTCTCCCCAATCCTCCCCTTTTCCCTTCTCTCTCCCCATCTCCCCTTCCCCCAAAACCCCACCCTCGTGCTCCCAACTTTTGCCCGGCGATCTTGTCTACTTTCAATATCCAGAAGGATAAATATATGTTTTTCTTTGGGTTCCCCTTCTTATTTAGCTTCTCTAGGGTCACGAACTATAGGCTCAATGTCCTTTGTTTATGGCTATCCAATTATGAGTGAGTACATACTATATTCCTCTTTTTGGATCTGGGTTATCTCACTCAGTAAAGCATTTTCTATTTCCATCCATTTGCATGCAAAATTCAAGATGTCATTGTTTTTTACTGCTGAGTAAAACTCTAATGTGTATATGTTCCACACCTTCTTTAACCATTCTTCTATTGAGGGGAACCTAGGTTGTTTCCAGGTTCTGGCTATTACAAATAGTGCTGCTATGAACATAGTTGAACAGATGCTTTTGTAGTATGATAGGGCATCTCTTGGGTATATTCCCAAGAGTAGAATTGCTGGGTCCTGAGGGAGGTTGACTCCCAGTTTCCTGAGAAACCACCACACTGATTTCCAAAGTGGTTGCACAAGTTTGCATTCCCACCAGCAATGGATGAGTGTTCCCCTTACTCCACAACCTCTCCAGCATAGGCTATCATTGGTGTTTTTGCTTTTATGGATATGAAAAGTATGGGGAATGATCTCTGTTTAGCTGGGGAAATGGGATCTATTGGTCATTTAAATGGTACCACAGAGTCAATTCAAGAGAGGGGTTTAGGATGGAATCCCAAGGGGACAACCTAATGTGGATGTGTTATTTGAGCTATGTCTTGAAGGATGATCATTAATCTAATAGTGGAGAAGAAAAAATAGTGTTTCCGAGGGTGAACACATTGAGACCAAAAGTAGTATTTTTAGAGTTTAAGCATGTTGACCTGAACTCCACAGGGACTTAGGACCTCTGCTACTTGAACAAGTTACCCAATTACTTCAACTGGTCTAGAGACAGTTGGACTTAAGAATGCAAGCCTATAATTCCTCAGCACATGGAACTTCATTATGAATTATAGACCAACTTGAACAACATAGACTGTTTCAAAACAACACCCCAGGGCTGGGAGTATAGTTCAGAGTCAGAGTGACTAACACTACAAGGTCCTCTGCTCAGTTGAAGCACTACACAAAAACCCTCTAAGGTTTTAAATAGCAATAACAAAATAAAATTTCCAGAAATAGAGTTCAGTACATTTTCAGGAAACAATGACAGAATTTTCAGGAAACTTCCTGTGTCAGGAAGTGGTGATAAGGACTGTAAGTGTGATGGGACCAAACTTGAATTGTCAAATGAATTTGGCTCTAGTCTTTGTAAGTGATGAGATTTCTTTCTTTTTTTTTTTGGTGAAAGTGGATAGAGGATGCAATTACAAAGGCATATTTTAGGAAGTTTAACCCAGGAAGCAGGATTCATTGCATGAAAACACCCAAAATTTCATTATCCATTCATCAGATTAGATCAATGTTTAAAATTGCAAATAATGAAGCCAGGAGTGGTGTTGCATACATGTAATGACAGCACTTGGGAGGCAGAGGCAAGAGGATCAGGAGTTCATTCTGGAGTTGGGGGAAAGCCAGGGCTACAAAAGACCCTGTCTCGATGTTAAAAAAAGGGAAACAAAACAAAACAAACAAACAAAAAATCAGAATGTGATGGCATATGCCTTTAATCTCAGCACTGGGGGGACAGATGCAGGCAGATTTCTGTGAGTTGGAGGCACCACCACCGCCTTGTTTAAGATTTATTTTATTTTGTCAGAGGTGGTGGTTTTGTAATCCTTTAATCTCAGCACTCAAGAGGCAGAGACAGGCAGATCTCAGTGACTTTAAGGCCAGTCTGGTCTACAGAACTAGTTCTAGAAGAGTCAGGGCTACACAAAGAAGCCTGTCTCGAAAAAAAAAAGATTTATTCTATTTTGTATGTATGATTGTTTTCCTTGCATGCAAGTCTGTGTACCATGTGCACACCTGGTGCCCTCAGAGGTCAGAAGATGATGTCATATCCCCTGGAACTAGAGTTATGGACAGTTGGCCATGTAGGTGCTGAGAACTGAACCCCAGTCATCTGCAAGAACAAGTCCTCTTAACCGCAGACCTGTCTTCCCAGCCCTCAGGAGTGACATTTTTTTTTTAAAAAAAAATCTATGTCTGCTTTGGGGGATAAATATTGAAAATATCAATTCCAGAAAAAATAAATACATTTTATATTTTGAATACTTAACTACTGCTCCTTGTTATGTCTAGAAACCCATAGTGTGCTGAGGGACTGAGACAAGAGGAGCATTTGAGCCCAGGAGTTTGGGAGTCAGCTTGGAATAACACAGTGAGATCCAATCCCTTAACAACATCAGGTTAATAATAAAGAGGTTAATAACAAACATCTATTCATTTACTACAAAGTCAGTTACGGCTGCTGATAAAGACAGCTTTGGAAAATACTATCAAAATTATGATAGTCAGATGCAATTATGAGACAACTGAATATATTAAAAACAATTTGATAATGCATGCATAATTAAAACAAAAAAATCAGTGTAAAATACACATTTTTGTGATAGGTACAATGAGGCATTTCTCTTGTACTTTTACTAAAAAACTATACCCTTTTTACCCTAGCAATGTACTCTCCAAACTCATTCCAAAAGTATATAGTAACAAGTACCTCCCTAGGATAAAAACCTATTGTGAAAAAAAATCATATTTCTAGAAATGGAAATTTTAAACTTACAAAGGTAGACCCAGTGACAATTTTAAAAGATTTATTTATTTTTATTTTATGTGCATTGGTGTTTTGTCTACACATATGTCTGTGTAAGGGTATCAGATCCCCTGGAACTGGAGTTATAGCCAATTGTGAACTGCCATGTAGGTGCTGGGAATTGAACCTGGGTCCTCTGGAAGAACAGCCAGTGCTCTTAACTCCTGAGCCATCTCTCCAGTCTCCGATAATTATTTTTTTTGACAGAAGCATGTGAATAATTTTAGGTGGATAATTTTTTTTATCTTGAGATAAGCTAGCATAAATTTTACCCATAAACTGGCAGAACCACTTTCCACTGAATGTAAAGGATGTGACATCAATAGTTACTTCCCCTCGTTTTATTGGAGAGTGTCTCCTATAGCCCAATCTGGCTTCAAATTCACTATATAGCCAAGGATAACCTTAAACTTCTGATTCTCTTGCCTCTTCCTCCCTGGGACAAGCCCCGTATCAACTGGGCTAGCCCTCCTATTATATCATTACAGCTACTCTTCTAAGGGTATGGATCACTTGAGGCATCAGGGCTTTTTTTTTTTCAACAAGAAATAATCAAATAATAATTTCTATTATGTAGAAAACAGTCAATTAAAACACAAAAGTACTGTGCCATGATGATTGTTGGAGTACATAAGGATGGTCTTGGATTAAGTAACTCCTTCTCTGGATGGCTTTATGTTGACTAGTATAATCAAGGGTTTTAGAAATGGGTGACCCACATGTATGATAAAGGGCTATAAATACATGTCCTAACTCAAGAATAAGATTAAGTAGAATGCTGTGCTTTGAATAACTTGAACTTGGCTAAGCATTCACATTCCAATATGCTTACACACACATCACTGAGGTACTGAATTTTTTTTTCTTAGTGGAAATGGATTTAATCACATTGACTCTTCCTTGTCGATCAGCTTCATATACAAAATGGCAGCTCATGTGTGCTGTTGGAACCCCTGACTTTGATGACTTTAGCAATATCTCACATGTGGATGCTAATGGCATATGTTAGTGCTACCTTAGTCTATGAAATATGAGGGATATGAGAAAATTCCTAAAACAAACAAAATGGGTGCTTTTTATTATATGCAAATTGTACCTAAGTTGATTTCATACAAATTCTGAACCTGAAAGTCACTTTTGGGAGAAGGAATATGGGTCGTGATCAAGCTGTGTGATGGTTCGTAAGCCTTGGGAAGCTGCCCTCTGACATCGTAAAAAAGTTGTATTCATTTATCATCTTCCAAGCATAATCTAGGCTTCTGGCAAATTAGACCCAACCACTCTGTTCTACATTCACTTTCAGGGGGTGGGTGAACCCTCCTTGGGATTCTCAATTCCCTTTGAAACTCCGCTATTCTGGGACAACTTATGACTCTATGAAGGCTCAGGGTGTCAGAAATTCTGGGGTTTATGTCATGTCTTATGTGCCTTCATCTTGACCTGGAATGGTTAGCTACAGAAACAAAGTCCCCCTTTGCTGGAGCTGTCCCCATTAGTTTCCCCCCTCTCCTGCCCTCTGTATGGCCCTCTCCCGCGGCGGGCCTTCCCCATTGGCCAGACAAACACAACCGACTGTAGCAACCAATGGGAGCCGCCCTCTTGAACATTCAGAGGGTGGGTGCTCGTGGTGTGATGAGGGGAGGTTGGCGCCTGGTACGCGCCCCCTACATCTGGCAAGTCTTTGACAGAAACTGTAACACCCCCTACACACTCACACTCGTGCCCCGTGTCTGCCTCCTTTCAGCTGCATGGGTGCCCTCCATAAGCCACTGCGTGTACCAGTGTCCTGTCAGCGCCCTCCCCAATTCCTTAGGCCCTAAAGTACACCTGCTCCCTCAATCAGACCGAACACCTCTTTATCCTAAGACTTGCGGAAGGCAGGGAACCACGGCGGCACAGTTGTCAGCTGCTGTGGAGCTGAAGGAGGTACCTCAGATCCCCCATCTCCTAGTGCTGCACCGCACCCGAAGCTCTCCAGTGATGCCTTAGGGTACAACTCTCTTTGTCCTCCCCAGTTGTGCTCACTGTCCACTCACCCTCTGCGCTCTAACTTAAGAGGGGGTGGGAAGCCTGAACCCCACCACGGAACTAGGGACAAAAAGGCAAGGCTATTCTGGGGTGGCGTGTGTGACCCTCCTCAGCTCTTCCCCGTTCTGCTTAGGCTTTCTCCCTCCAGTGTGTCCCTGGGGTCCAGATAGGGGAGGGTCTAGGCGAAGGCGCGGCACAGCCTGAGCCTGCAGTCTTGGAGCTCACACACCGGCAGAAGAAGGGGGCTCAAGGCCGGCAGGTTCTCCGTTTCTTCTCTTGCAAGCTTTTGTGTCTGTGCCTTAGAGCTGCAAGGAGGGTGCACTGGGGAAGGAGGAGGGGTGCTTAGGGTGAGAGCACCCCCTTCAAGCGCGCGCACACACACACACACATTGCCGGTGCACGCACACACAGGCGGACACACACTTCAGACGCGCGCGCGCGCGCGCGTTCACACACACACACATACACACACACACACACACACACACACACACACGCACGCACAAAGCTCTCTCGCTTTGAGCGCACTAACGTGGCCGCTTTCTTTGTGTGGAGCCCTCGACTGGGGTTGGGACCCCGGTCCTGTCCCGGGGAGATGGCGCAGCCCATCTTGGGCCATGGGAGCCTACAGCCCGCTTCAGCTGCTGGCTTGGCATCCCTGGAGCTCGACTCATCGATGGACCAGTATGTACAGATTCGTATCTTCAAAATCATCGTGATTGGGGACTCCAACGTGGGCAAGACCTGCCTGACTTTCCGCTTCTGCGGGGGTACTTTCCCAGACAAGACTGAGGCCACTATCGGTGTGGACTTCAGGGAGAAGACCGTGGAAATCGAGGGCGAGAAGATCAAGGTGATCCAGCTGGTCAGGTCCGGGAAGGGAGGGACCTGGGAGGGGGTTTCGCCTGAGGTAAAGCTCTAGTGATAACAAATGTCTAGCTTTGGCTGTGTCGCCACCTGCCGAGCTCAAGACCCTGGTGGCATCCTCACCCCTTTTAGCTTCTTTCAGGGGTTCCGTTTCCACCTAACCCAATTTTCCTGGGAAGACAGAGTGGTTGCATTTTTACCCCTTGCCCTGGCCTTACAGCTCCTGCCTGGAAAAGCCGGTTTGAAATTGTCCTCAACCCTGAGTGGGAGAGACACCCCTGAGCACAGGAAGGCCTGAAACATTTCTGGGATGTCTTGTGGGATGGATCCCAAAGCACTTTATACATCTTGAGGTCTTTTCTACCTCTTGGGTGCCAATAGGCTGCAAAAAACATCTTGGCTAAGCCCTGTGACATTAAGAAGGCTGGGAATTCATGGAGCATGAAAACTGCTTTATTTTAAATTATAGTTTACTCTTAAGATTGGGGCTGAGTTGGAATGGGGGTGGAGAAATGGTTGTGTCACAAAGCCATGAGCCCTTTTAAAGATTGACAGTCAACCGCTGAGCCTTCAGCATCCCCAAAACTTGTTCTTTTTGGAGGCAGTCCCTCTCAAATACTTGTTTCTTTGCTTGCTTTGGGGAACCTAGTGAACGAAGTGCACATTGCTCATTCTGCTGGCATTGTCTTCAGAAGGCCCATTGGGAAAATGTAGCACAACTTATTGAAGGGGCAGGGGAAGTGCCTTGACCCTCTCCCCATAGTTTATTAAGTAGGTCAAGTCAAAATATTTTGTACATTCATTTCGTGCAGTAAAAGGAGAAACTCAGTAAGACAGGAATGTGTCAAGTGCAGGGAGGGAGTGGCAGGAAGCAGGATATGGCAAGGGCAGCTTTGTGTGTCATGGAAATCTGCTTAGAAGGCACCAGGGATACTAAAGACCAATTCCTCTAGACTCATAGCTGGCCTTTGCTTATGCCTGTAGTTGGACCCCAGGTAGGGCCAAAGGGGAAGGCAAACTTCTTGCTGCAAAAACCGACTGAAGTAGCCACATGTCCTGTCCTGTCTTCTAAGTGAAGTGGAAAGAACCGGGGAACTGGAGGGGCTGATGAAACATCCCAAATTGTGCAAGCTTTCTTGGTGATTAAAATGATTACATTTTAAAATGGCCTCAGAAAACAAGCCAAGACACTGCACTTCAGAAAGACTGGTAGGAGATAAGGAAGAGTAAGCCTCTGGGTCGGGGAGATAGTACATTCTTTTGAACTTGTGGTCTTTTTTGCTTCTTCCACTTCTGAGGAAACAGGGATTGCTTCATGCCCTTTTAAAGTCAATGCAGGTGTCTGTCGCTTTCTTTTTCAAGGACTCTCATGTTGAATGTTCGCACAAGTCAGGGCTTCCTTCTCTATGGTGTCTAGTTTCTCTAATATATGCCTACCAGACGCTGGAAAATCTAAGACATGGTTTGTTTGCTTTTTTTTTTTGCCAAAGTAGAAATAAACCAATGGATGCATTTTGCAACACCTTCAAAATCATTCATGATTAATGTTAGTGCTTATTTAAAATCAAGTGTTACGAGGAGCTAAAGGGTTCCCTGGGCTTACAGGTCAGGGGAGGATGCTAAAGTCATCTGGAATATGAGTGGTGGGAGAAAGAAAGTATGTGGGGATCCAGGGGAAAAGGAAGATAAGGGGGGAGGGTTGGGGAGGAGAAATGAGGGGTGGGAGGTGAATAGTGGATGAAGTCATTACCCAAATGGCCTTGGGGAGTGTTTTAAACCATTCCTCCTCTACTGTCACCCCTGTATTTAACCAACTGGGTCTCAGAGTCTCTGCCAAATATTCCAGACCTTTTTTCCCAGAGGACAGAGCCCGTGACAGTGTGACTCACTAGAAACAGAGATCAGCACAACACCATGTGCAGATAAGTGCTTAATACGGGCTTTTGGGGGAAGGTGATATTTTCAAGAGGACAAAGCCTTATACCACAGTTTAAGGAGGAGCCTTTGAGGACAAATTCACCAAGGACCATCAGGGGAGTGTGGTACCTGGGAGATGCTGAAACTGCTCCCTTGTAAGCAGTTGAAACATGAAGGTCTAAGCAGGCCGATGAGAGACTAGTGTGTCTGGAAGACGGCAGAGCATGGCACCTGGCAGGAGATCAAGAAAGAAGTAGATTGTGCCTCATACTTTGACTGCTCGCAAGGAACAAGTGCCAAAACAGGGGGAGAGACAAAGGTACAGTGGGGTAGGCTGAGGCAGCCCTAGAGTTCAGCCAGCAAGAGTAGGCTGTCAGATTATAAAGTAGAAGCCCAGGAGGGGGAATGGCTTTTCTCAGTTCTGGAATAGGGCATGACCTCTCCCAGGCTTGCTCCCTTGTGTCTCAGGGGTGGCACACATGACAACCTCTGCTGGGGATGCCTGATTTGCCATATTCATAACCACATCTTCCGTATCAGGGCTATCCTTAGGAGTCTGAAGCCCTATTTCTTTCTTTCTTTCTTTCTTTCTTTCTTTCTTTCTTTCTTTCTTTCTTTCTTTCTTTTTCTTTTTATTTTTTGAGACAGGGTTTCTCTGTGGCTTTGGAGACCAGCCTGTAGACCAGGCTGGCCTCGAATTTACAGAGACCCGCCTACCTCTGTCTCCCGAGTGCTGGATTAAAGGTGTGTGTCACCACCGCCCGGCTTGGAAGCCCCATTCCTTTCCCCCAATTACCATGTCTCCTCTTGTAACTCATACCTTTTACAATCCAACGTTTCCTGGTTAACACATACTCAAGAGACCCCCCCATGGCGGCTAGAGAGGTAGCTCAGAGGTTAATAGCCCTTGAACAAAGGCCCTCTGCAATAACAAATGCTCGAGGACCTGGGTTCAATTCTCAGCACCCACAAGTTACTCATAACCATCCATAACTGTAGTTTCAGGGAATGGAGCACCTACATGTTCACCAAAAAAACCCTTCATACACACACAATAAATCTAAAATAAAATTCAAAAGAAATGCCTCCAATAATTAGGGAATAATAGTTGAAAACTTCTATTTATTGGAGCCGGAGAGGTAGCGCAGTGGTTAAAAGTACATATTGCTCTTTCAGAGGACTCTGTAATTCCAGCTCTAGAGATACCTGATGCCTCTGACCTCTGCAGACACATTCATTCATGTGCACATACCTACACATAACTACAAATAATAAAAATAAATCTAAACTAAACAAAAAACCTTCTGTTTATTGACTAAACAAAGTCCAAGCTAGTCATTTTATGTCTTACTTGATACGGCAGC